CTGCACCGCTTACCAGGAGCTGCTCCAGATAAATCCCTCCTGTCCCAGTCCTGACCCCCTGTTTCCCCCAAGCCTGAGTCCCTCCTGCAACCCAAAGCTCTCATCCTCGGCCCAAACCTGATGCTCACACTCCAGTCAAATTATGCTGGGTCGCAGGCATCAGCAATTTTCTTCAACTGGGTTATGAAAAAAAAGAGTTTGAAAACCACTTAATTGTTTAACAACATACAAATAAACAGAATATGCTGTATCCCTGACAATCCCCAGTGAGCTTCTACCTCACCAATATTAGCTAGCAATTTCCCAAAGGTTTCATGGCATAAGTGAGTCTCGAGGGAGGAGTTGCATTAAGAGTGTGTGGAGCCTCCTCGTTGTATAGTTTGGAGAGAGCCCTCCATGCGGTATTGGAGAAAGCATGAAGGCTGTGAGAGAGAAATGGGCTATGGATGACAGGGGCAATGCAATAATATACAAAAGGAGAAAAGCAGAGGAACAGAGGTATGAAAGATCACGACGGAAGAAACATCTTGAATGTGATGTGTGGGAGGAAGAGGAGGAACCCAAGAGACGTGAGAGAACTAGGAGGAATGGGCTAGAAAGATACACTATCGTCAGATTTGAAATGCACTCTACCACTACCTGGCTATTACCGGGATACTAATTTTCACCATGCTGTCATGGCAATAAAAGTTTTCTGAATTTGAGAAAAAAAAAATCCAAGAGAGAAATCCAAGATTTTTAGATCTTTCATATTTCTCAAAATATCCACCCTGCTCTTCAACCTATATATAAATGGATGATTCAAATAGGACATTATGTTTAAACAAAAAGAAAAATTAAAATAAATAAGTAAAAGCTGTATTTCTTTCCACTATTGTTCACATTTCAGTGTAATGGTAAAAAGATGAGAAGCTTGGCTCTAGTGCCAGCTGGTCTTTTCAAGATTTATTGCACCTCATTAAATAGTTTAAGTCAACACACTTGAACCATAAGATTCTTCCACAATGTAATGTGTGTGCAGACACATGTCGGTATGCATATATCAAATATGCTTGCACAGCACAGGGTGTGATAAATGGAAGAGAAAAATCCTGGTTTACAGGGTGATGAGGTTGAAAGTACTGAAATAAACTTGGTTATCACAGTGATACAGGTTGAACCTCTCTAGTCCAGTACTCTCTGGTCTGACAATACCCATGATTTTAGTTAGCCAGATGTCCACTTATCATGGGTACGGCCCACAGTCCCATATAGTGTGTTTACAGGCGCCCGCCGACAACCTGGGCCAGCCCCGTCCCCGGCACACGGCGCACTGGAGGCGCCAGCCCGAGGCACGCGACACGCACTGGTGCATGGCGCTCAGGCGGCCCCAGCCCTGAGGCACATTTGGGCGGGCACACAGCGACGCCAGCCCCAGGCCCATGGCACAAGGCGCTCGGGCAGCCCCAGCCCCGGCCCTAGGGCACGCGCCGGGTGCAAGGGCATCCCAGTCCCCTAGCGTGCCCCCGGACGAGCGGCCCCGCCCCCGGGTTCCCGGCGCGTGAGTGGCCCCACCTCCCGGGCGCCCGGGAGCCTCTGAAGGTTGGGGACCACTGGTTTACAGCCACTAATCCTGACTCTTCGTGTTCGATGTTATTGAGCTCTAATTTTCATTTAAATGTCGTCTAAGAGACCAGGAAGCAGTGGAAGTGTTGGTAATGCTGCTAGACAATATTGACCTCCTATGCTTCAGCAAATTCTCTGGTTGGGCACCTGTCAGGTCGCAAAGATGCTGGAGTAATGAGGTTTAACCTGTATCTGCATCCCACTTCAACTTCACATTTTCTTCTGGAAATGAGGAGGTTGCATGATTTAAAGCAGAAGAACATACAAGAAAACTCAAGCAGAGCTTGGTAATAATTGTATCTGCCATCGGCAGCACCGAAACACTTGTTAAATAAAAACCAAAGAGGTTTTCATAACATCCATGTCCCCTTGAATGGTCTCCTGTGAAACAGGAGATGGAGTGAAGATTTCTGCTATTTGTACTAAATTATCACTATCACTTTTTCCAAAGCCCTCAAATTATTTTGCAAACATCAATTAGCACTCAACATCTTATACAGGAACAATGTATTAGCCATATTTTATGAGTACATGAAGGAATGGGAAAATTAAACTCACTGCCAGACGGTATATAGCAAGTCAAGAATATAATTAGGGAATTCCAAATCCCAGTCCCTTTGCTACACAACCCTCTTAGAGTTACACAGGATTAGAACTCAAGTGGATTAGTGGTCCATTTCATTGTCAGAAAGCATCATGAAACCTTTATACCAACTAATGTATTTTCCTTTACATCTAAAAAGCTGTATTGTATTAACATATCTTATTGTATTTGGTTTTTATATGGCACACTGACATCTAGAGAACTGCTAAATTATGAAGATTTATAGGTCACACTTTACATTATGATTTTACTCATCAATGGTTAAAGAAAGGGCTGGTAAATTAATAGATTAGACGTATGTTACAGTCTGTGATGTGAATGGTTATCCAGCTAGCAGCACCCTTACTAGGTGATGCTTACCGGTTATGGTTAACCAGCGGGGGCTGCTCCAGTCTGCCTGTGGTGGGAGCAGGGGCTGCCCCCTCCATTTAATTGGTTAACTGGGTAAGCATAATGTTTTACCAGTTTAACTAAATGAGATTACAGGCATTACTTACAGATTATTGTAAGCACAGCACTAGCAGGTATTGTATATGCACTTACAAGCTATGGTTTTAGGCAACCTATTGACCTGCTGGACTTTATAAACGATGTCAATTGATTAATCATTTATTAGAAGATCTATTCATCATTTATCACCCCTTCATAAACAGAACCAAATGATAAAGCACAGCCGACTTCACAAACAAGAATTCACATCCCAACAGGCTCACTCTTCTCCCCTGTGGGCAGGGATGTTTCTGGGACTGCCAGGCCCAAGTCCCTGGAGGGCAAGACAGCTAGCTCAAACAAATGGCAGGTGATGGATTTAAGGATGCAGACACAGGCATCATTTTGACTGGAATAGGCTTTGGCCCTTCTCCTCCAAGCTTGGGTATCTTTCCTATACGTAAGTGTCTCTCCAAAGCACACTCCTTTCAGCACTCGCTGCCCAACCTGCTAGCACAGCAGTGCAGATGGTGAGGCGCTGCTTGGGCAAGTTATAACATGCCTGAACCCTGTGGGTATGTACCCGAATACGGGTCGCTACATAGCCAAGCAGGGCCTGGCCTGTTTTCACTGCTACTTTTAGCACACAGCTGCCAGCTCCTGGGGGAAAGGCTCTGGCGGGAGAGGCAGAGGGAAAAGGCTCCAGCAGCAGCTGCCACAGCTTTTCCCCACTCCGTCCCCCTGCTAAAGTCTCTCTCTGACACTTGCAACTACATACCGCAGTGTCGATGCAGCCAGATTTTCACTGCGGCGTGTAGCTTACATGCTGATGCAAATAGACTGCAGTGTGGACGTACCCTTACGCTCACAGATTTGTAAGGCTGGAAGGGATAATTACGTTCATCTAGACTGCAACACACAGGCCAGAGAATTCCATCCAGTGATTCATGCATGAAGACCATAACTTCTAGTTGAGCTACACTGTATCTTCTGTAAAGACATCCAGTCTTGAGTTTAAAGATTTCGTGTTACGGATAAACTCTTCCAATCATCACGATTAAAATTGTGCTTTATTTCTAGTCTTGCATTTGTCTAGTTTCATTTCCACCCACTGGCTCATACGGTATAAAAATTATACAGAGCTAAAGCCTATCCTTAGGTGTACAACTGTGTACATGGGCAGAGGAAAGAACATAGAAATCAAGTAGCCTTACGTATGATTTGAGTTGCCAGCCAGAATTCACCCAGATCTCACAAAATATGGTAGGCAATAAACAAAGCTAACATGTGCCGTTATGTACCTGGAGCTCAAGGGGATGGGTGGATACAGCTAACCTCCAAAACAAGTACGTGTGTATGGGCAGAATTTCCTTCAATGAAGATACAGGTTGAACCTCTCTAGTCCGGCAACATCTGTGGTCCGGCATGATTTTAGTTAGCCAGGTGTCTACTTTTCATGGGTGTGGCCAAGATTCCCACAGTCCCGTAAAGTTTGTTTACAGACCCCAGTCCTGGCTCTCAGTGTTCTGTGCTGTTATTTAGCTCTAATTTACTCCTCAATGTCTTCTAAGAGCCCAGAAAGCAGTGGAAGTGTTGGTAATGCTGCTAGACAATATTGACCTCCTATGGTTAGGCAAATTCTCTGGTTTGGCACCCGTCACATGCCAGACAAGAGAGGTTCAATCTGTGCCTAAATA